TTGTTCACATGTGCTCTATTCTTGTTGAGAGCCCATAAGGATACGCCCTTTGAGAGTAAGAGTATCATGACTGAATGCCCTTCCGGCCCTCAGCAGATGAGTGTAAGTTATTATGGAACATGATGACGCGTAAGATGCAGGCGAGCTACATTATGATAACCTTCATATTAATCAGAGCAAAGATTCTTCAAAATTAATAATATCGCACGGTCTCTAGCGCTATCGTAGGCCTATTACTGTTGTTGTACTGTATCTTTATCTGTTTTCCCATCCCTCCTCTTTTTCTCTCTCTCTTCCCCTCTTTCTCTCTCTATATATACCTCTTTCTTTATTAACATATTTTTCTCTTTCTTCCTTTCTCTCTTCAGCTCTTCACTTCCACTAAACCTTCACCTTTTCAAGTGTTCTATATCTGTTTTCCCCCTCTCTCCCTCCTCTCACTCTCCCCCTCGTTTTGCTCCTCTCTCTTCCCCTTCTCTTTTACATGTCTCATACTTTCATTTACTTCCAACGCCAATCAAAATGGCCTGCATTGTATACTTTTTTCTTCCGTTTCCTTCACATAATGTCGACTAATGTACGTATATTGTATAATTTTTTTCTGCTCACCTTTTATTCCACAATTTCATCCATTTCTAGTATGCACCCAAAATGTCACACGTTTCCTAAAATTCAATCAAGAAAATGGAAATAGAGCATTTCGGTGATATCAGCACCAAGTAATTTCAAAGTTAGTACCATTTGCGTCATGCAGACACGTGCCTCATATCGATGTGAATTTACTATGAGAAAGAAAAAACAGTTTAAGGCCATAAGAATAAAACTGGGAAGGCCATCGGATATGTTGTCGGAAGATGAATTTTTTATTTTTCCGAGACATAATGGATTTCAAATATAATGGATCGTGATAGCGCAAACAAATGTTACAAGCGAACGAAATGTGTTCCAGTGCATATTTTTAATTAAAACAAGTAAGAAGAAACAAGGAGAATATGACTATTCAGGAGCAGAGAGAGAAAAATCCCTATCAAGTTGTACGGGAAGATTCTGTATTTTTAAATGTTAGAAAATCAACAAAATACGCTAACATTATTCAATGCCATCTGTTTACTTTGGTCAAATCTGAAAATGATCAGTTTGGGTCCATTTAAGTACTTTGAGAGAAAAGTCCAGAATCTATCAGCTACATGTATGTCACCATAGAGACTATACCACCCTTGACAACAGTTGTGCATTTTACAACATTTCACTTTTGCCTTTTCCTGATACACAGGCATATTTTTTTACTACAACACCAAAATTTGTGTCATGACCAATTGTACACCTTTGGAACAGACAAGGAGAGGGGTTGTCAATGATAGCAATTACATCGATAATGCAGTTACACAAGAGATTTCAGTTATGAGAGGTGTATACAAAAAGATTACAGCAATATAATACATATGACTTAACAAAAATTACTTTCTTACATTATGCAGTCTTGAAGAATAGTGTCTTGGCTGCTAGATTGATTTGATGACCCTTCTTCTGATCAGTCCTATGGAATCACCACTGCCTCTTAAGGAAATATCAACTGTAAACTCATTCAAATCTTCTCTTAAAACTCACCAGCTCAAAAGGATCAATATTTCCATATTTTATCTTTGTCATTCCTGTAAATTTCCTTAGTGTATATTTGTGTTAGGTCACTTCTTTGATTGTTATTCCTTAATTGTATTTTTCATGTGCTCTGTTTTGCAATTTACATCTTATTATATTTCACTTTGTTCATGTGTACTGTCAGCACCTTGAGCATTTCTGCGGAATGGATATGGCAGTTAACAAATAGTCATAATTATTATTATGTAAGTATTTTTAACACTATAATTGTGTATACAAAAATGGAGAGTTGTCTATGGTGTCTACAAATATGTCAAAGTTAATTGACCAAATTGCAAATGATTGGCAATTCTGTGCAATTGGGCGCATATACAACACATGTCTTTCGCCCCTATTTAAAAAAAAAATCCTTCTTAATATGACCATTTAATGTCACTATCAACAAGAGGTCAACGGTTTTGTAATGTATGGTCAAATGTCCTAAAAGCTACACAGGTCCATTATCTCCACCCTCAAAATACACACTTTGCAATGTCAATTACTCGATTCAATTTAATTCAATTCAATTCAATTTTATTCAATTTTATTTCACCAAAGCAATTAAAAAAGAATATAACATACTTTCATAGAACTGTACATTGAATAGAATATCATGTATCTACACATTGGTACAACAATATACAAGTTGCTTGGTAGGTAGTTACATGAAAGGAAGTGACTCTTATATTAAAGTAGCTGACCTAAAGATATACACTTACGAGATAAAAATAAGTTCCAGATTACAAGGACATGACAAAATACAACAATACAGAGAGAAAAAAACACGAACAATCTACAAGTTATTACTCCTTGATAGCCAAAACATTCGTAATGATATTCTTTAAAATGGCTTGGGCATAATAATAATTAGGCCTATGCCATATTATTTATCATGGGCCTGCAGTACATTAAGAGCTCTTACATCGCAGTAGAATATTATTTGTATAGGTTCTGCGATTTATATAATATCATTAATTTGTATTATTATTAGTAGTAGTATGATAAATGTGATTACTTGTTGTAGTTTGTTCTTACTATAGATTTCATACGATGGATCACTTAGTGTTCTTGCTGCTTCTCAGCGTACCATTGACGATTGATAGAAGAATGGTGAAAGCAGGTGTGACTAATTTCACAGGTAAGATCTAAATACAGTGGCGTATCTGACGTGGGACAGAGGAAGTACGTGCCCCGGCTGGCACTTGAATATTTAGCGGCAACGGCCCAACCATTAAAGCGGAAGCTTTAACGTTTCAATATATTATTACTCTTAATCCTTGTCTGTATTCATTTTCGCCCATTCCGCGCTTAGCGCGGAAGCTTTCACGTTTCATTAAATTATTCGTAAAAGAAGACGCTTCGTTATATCGTGTACTTTGACGTTTCATTTGATTATTACGCTCAATCCACGTCTGAATTTAGTTGCCCCCTAACAGCTTTGCCCTTTTCACTGAATTATCAGAGAAAGAAGACGATTCGTTGTACTGTTCTCTATATTAATCCTTGTCTGAATTCAGTTTCCCCAATGAACATAATTTGTGTTACAAATAAGTTGTGACATAATAATCTTTCTCCAAAAATGAAAAATCTTTTAGGAAATATCAGGAAATAAAATGAATGAAAAAAACAAAAATAAAGATACAATGACGTGAATTTTAAAAAGGGTGAACGGAAACAACATAACAACTAGAGAACTATTTTATAAGTCATACTAATGTCCGAAAATCTTTCTCCTTGTCTCCGATCTCATCACGAAATCGTCACAGAGTTCATCTTTGTTTACACTGTCCAGGATTGTCTAAAGTGCATTGCAGATTGCTATTTTTGCGCTTCGCGCTTAACATTTAGCTCGTTGCTTTTTGACGCTGCGTCTTTGCATTTGGCGCACTGCATTTCTATGATGCTGTTGATTGAACAAATTGAATAAATTCATCAATTCCTCATGAAGCCGTATGAGCGAGAATTCAATTTATTCTTGTCTCATATACGATTGTCTTATTTACTTCGTATATATGTATGTATTATGAAAATGAGATAGCAAAATGTGTATATTGATAGTCATCTTGCGAGTAATAACCATTAACTACTCTCATCGGGCTCTCATTCTTAATTTTTCTCTTCATTTTTTTGGTTTATTTGATGCTGAATTATTGGGGGGGGGGGGGGGATGATTATATAGGCCATCCCCCCCACCTGAAATATTGGGGGATATATTCCCCCCCCCCCCTTCCCCCCTCCGGGATCGACACCCATGAGCCGGGATAAGGGTAAAATTTACATGCGTACTATAAAATAAAATTCTTTAAAAAAAAAAGATAAATAACAGTAGTTTGTCGGAGAAAATACAAAATACTGCACCTCCCCTTGCCCACAGCTGACTCAGTGTTCCAGGGAGTTAGCGCTGATAACTCAACGATATTGTGTTACTAGATCTTTAACGATTGAGCAACGATTCATCCTGCCCACTGCCCCGGCCATTAATACAAAAAACAACAACGCATGAAGTAAAAAGCTCGATTTCGTTCGATTTTTCCTCCTCTCAAGAACGGTAATTAAACTTTTAATCGGAATGAATACAATCTTGTTCAATTTTTTAATGTACATGTATATAATCTGTGTTCTTGATACACACATATTTAAAAACAGATAATTAATATGGATTAATCAATTCTATCAAACAGAATCAGTGACGTGTAATGACGGACATCAATCCAATGTTCTTGACCCAACCTGTCCAGAGCCGCTTCGCAATTATCCTTTCTCTTGCGAAATTTCGTGGAATGCACGACCGTGTAGATGTGACCCACAGTGCGCTCTATACGATGAGTGTTGCCCGAATGCTGAAGAGATGTCTGCCGCAGGAACATTGGACGCAACATATATATACCCTAATCCTGATGTTCTACCTGAGAAGATGGCTTGGGAAGATCATTATCTCCCATATATGTCATGTGTTACCATATCTGCAGGTACCAAGTATGCAATACAGGAAAATATAACGATCTACAAGTCATACCATCTTATTTCTAAGTGCCCTGCCTATGTCCTAGATGATAGTTTAGTTCGTCACTTGTGTGAGAACCCGCCAACATCCCAGCAAATATTCCAAACTCCTGTTGCTGTTGAAAGCATTGGCCATTTCAAGAACATATACTGCGCATTTTGTCATGGAATTTCAATCATTAGCATTCAGCCATGGCAGTGGAATTGGCAATGTGATGTCACTCTAGACAAAGATAGTGTAAGTAGTTCACTTACTGCAACACTAGAACCACGATCCCAACCAACAGTTCAAGAATTAGTTGCCTTCTTCTGTTCTCGTGAACTTGAACCCCCATCTGATATACCCAATGACATCTTACCTCGGCCTTGTTTTCTCGTCGATGTGACCTCATGTTCCATAGAACATATGAAATGTCCATCTTATCTTGCACCTGTAGAACATAATGGGACCATTTACCAGAATATAAACTGTGCGTATTGTAACGGAATCGACGTGTGTGGAAACTATCTTGATTTGTGCAAATCAGTTGATTATAAATTCGCGATACAGACTGGTATTCCTCCATTTGCAGAATACTTTAACTTCATTGAAAACGACCAAGAGGTGGTTGCTTTGTCATGCGCTACAAATGAAGCCTTTGACCCACTCACTAGCACATGTCAACTGCTCTATTGCTTCTCTGGATTTGAATATAACATCACAACAGAAGAATGCAAACGTGTACCGGTAGATGAAAAGGGAAGACTCTACTTGTCGTTCTATTCTAGTCACACAGAAATGTATATGACGTCATCGGACACTGAATATCTATCAGCAGCGGTGAACAATCTTATCATTGAATTATCGTTGGATGAACTGACATTCTCTGCTGTTGTATCACTGCCTGAATTGTCCTGTATCCCTGCCAAGGCTCAGATAGATGGTTGTCATGAAACTCCTTATAATTCATTTTGTCAAGTGTGCTTCGATACCGAGATGAACTTTACTGCCCTGCCTCTATCTTCTATGGAATTCGACCGGGGTACCTTGGATACATTAACCAATATAACGTCCTGTCTATACATGCCTTCATTCGGAAACCTTTCAATGGTAGAACTGTTGATTGATGTTCCTGCAGGATGGAGCTGTGAGTCCCATGATTCCTGGACATTTCCAGATAACAAAACATCCCTGGAACCATTCCGAGTTAATGTCACTAGAGAAAGGGAGCAATATATTCTGAGTGTTTTCAGCATAGGTGACATTTGTGCAAACAGTACCAGACTTGTATGTGACAAATATGTCAGTTTAGAGGCTAGCAAGTTTGAGATTGTGACAAACCACTCAAAAGTATCACTCCATATCAGTGGCATGGACACTGTCCTTTTACATGATCAGTTTCAGATAAATCCAGATGGCTCTGCTGTTTATTGCCTAGAAGAAGCTGTATCTGAAGGTCGTAACTTACCTGCTGGTCTAGACATCATGAACATAGTAGGAACTGTCCTGTCAATTATGTCACTTCTAATCGTCATAACCACATACTTAATTTTTCCTAAGCTTCGTAATGTGGCTGGGAAATCAGTTCTAACTCTATCTGTTACTCTCCTATTAACATTTCTATTGATTTTCGTGGGTGGAGTGAATACCCAACATGATGGTCTATGTAAAGCAGTAGGAGCTATAACTCATTTCTTCTGGCTCTCCATTTTTTTCTGGATGAATGCCCTTGCCATAGATCTGAATCGGACCTTTGGCTCCCATGCTAAATTTCGTGTCGGCAACAAATCTCAAATTTTCTACATCTGGTATTCCTTGTATGCTTGGGGCATACCAGCATTGATCGTAGGTGCTTGTCTGGTTATTGACCTGTGCGACTGCACCAATCTGCACTTGAACTACGGCAATGATGGGCTATGCTGGTTGTCTAGCGGGAATGTGAATCTGTTTGCCTTTGGTGTACCTCTTGCAGCACTTCTGTTCCTGAACGCGATCCTGTTCACAGACACAGTGGTCGGGATTAGACTTACCAAAAAGGCCGCAGAGAAAGCATTAAAGGAGCGACCAGCCCTGGCCAAAGCAAAAGAAGAGTTGTCCCTTTATATCAAGGTCAGTATGAAGCTCTGTTCCACAAGAATGCGCTAGGTATCTTAAGATGGACGGGGGGGGGGGGGGGCGGCAGATACTTAATATAAATAAATAAATACTAAATAAGACTCTTAAAGGTAACTGGGCCAGGATTCAATTTGATACTTATGTAATAAATGTGAGTATTTTACTAAGTTCTTGGCTTAGAAAAAAATACTTGGCCAATTAACTTTGGTATTCCGTTGAGGCTTTCGGCTAAGTATTTTACCGCAAGTTTAAGACAGGTCTCTAGATTTTGGAAACACGCATGCGGTCCCTCCGTTCCCGGAGTTGGGGGGGGGGCAGGGCATGCAGAACATTAACTTAATGAAGGCTTTGATTCAATTACTTATCATTCTTTTAAGGCTGCAGTGGACGAACACGTAGAGGTGTCGTGGACGAGTGGATATGTCACCGGACTGTGGATCACAAGGTCCGCGGTTCAAGTCCCACCGCGGCACTAATTCCTTTGGCAAGACATTGATCTACATTTGCCACTCTCCACCCAGGTGTTAAATGGGTACCCGATAGGATGCGAAAGCTGATGTGCATAGATTAGCAAGTGTGCGCTTGTAAAAATGACGCCTGGCTGAAATGCTTCCCAGGGAGTGGAGAATGTGCATACATTGTGTGCGGGTAAGCCTGAATCCAATGACCGGGGTAATAATATATATATCTGTAAAGCGCTTTGAGAGGACCTTCGGTCCTGAAAAGCGCTATATATGAACTAGCTATTATTATTATTATTATTATTATTATTATTATAACATATTTTTGAATGATCTTTTCCTTATAGTTGTCTGGTGTCATGGGTTTTACATGGATTTTGGCTTTCGTCTGTGAATATGCCAACATCCCAGAGCTTTGGTATATCTTCACTGCCATCAATTCCTTGCAAGGAGTCTTTATTCTTCTTGCTTTTGGCTTCAACAAGCGTATTATCGCCATGTGGAAGGAGAAACTGGGAGTCAGGCCTGATGATGTCACCTCCAGCACTGCTGATACAAAGAGCACCAATACCGGCAATACCATGGTTAAAAAATAGATACTGCAAATAAAATGTTATGACTCTTTTAAAGATGTAAAGCTACTCTACCAATGTTATGGCCTCAAACGCAGCTTCTGTGCTATGATTATTAATACATATAAACAACCTTTCTTAATTATTGATCCTGCTTGTCGACGGCTGGCCATGTTTTTTTTTGTTTTTTTGGCATGATTAAAACTTTTTGGACACGCCCAGTTCTTGAAACGAAAATGTTTGTGTACGAGTGGTCAGAGAAAGGACTATACACATCTCGGACAACGCATGTTCAAAACATATCTCACGACCATATTACATTCAAGATAAGTCAAAGAATTTGTTGCCACTTTTGGTGGCTGCCATCAAACACATCGGGGTATAATGTGATTATAAGGATATGGAAAGCTGTTCACCGTAATACACGATCAAACTTTAAACATTTTTACGTCTTTGAAGTCGGTGTGGGGCCCGCCCACCATCTAGTCGATCTGTAAAAGACGTCCTGAACTAAGTACGGGTTTAGCAATAGGTGTTATCTTCTGTGTTGTGATCATTTAAGTGAGAGGGTAGTCTTATCATCTTGGATAACAATGAGAAAGCATTATTGCAGGATGTCTAGCTATATGTTTTACATTTGCCCCAGGCGCCATACGATAAATATTGGTCTACAATTTTTCGTGCGATTTTGGGGGCATCGTAGGAGGCTACGGGCTACGATGTTTGAGTTCACATTATCTACAAGCATCATGCCATTTCTTGTATTGGCCCTCGGGGGCAGGCCGAGGTAAATCCGTACAGAGGCTATTCGGAAATTGTACGAAAATCGTGCAATTTCAGTGCAGTAGCTGAGCTGTAGCCGTGCTGTAGCCGTGCAGTCTCCGCAGCCTCCGAACAGAAATCGTATGGAGCCCGTTTGGAAAAATGTTTGGCCCTTCTCAAGGCGGCTGTAAGATCATGGTGTGTCAGCTGTGGGGTTTCCGCGGGATGACTGCTCAATGTCACGGATACTGCAGGGGTAGCAAGCAGTGACCTTGCGATAGATGTGCGGTGGCCGTGCGAATGTCCAACGAGTCTACCATCTCTGTACGATTTTAATTTTGCCCCCATGTTCACCAAAAAATCGTGCGTTTGCTGCACGTTTAGCGCAATGCCACCTACGACATGTCTACGGGCTTACGATTTTTTGGGACACCCCCACCTAACAGGATATTGCCGCCGGGAAAATGATAAAATGATTTGTCGGTAATTGGTGGCTAGTTTTGTTGGTAATCGGTGGCTTCTACACCCTGACAAAAAAGAAGAAGGTAAAAACACATTAATTTTACCTTTAAAAAAGTTGTTTAAACAATTTAAAAAATACTGCGTACTACTTTCCCTCTCCCCCCCCCCCCCCCCCCCCCCACTTTCCGCTTATTCACCGTCTTGCTGTTTCGGCGCTAAATATTTTCTAACGAATCGGGCAAAAAAAATGTTTTAAAGCTTATTCGCCGGCTGGCTGATTCGCCACTAAAAAAATCTCACAAATTGGGCTCCCCCCTCCTTGGCGCCGGCTCGATCCGCCCCTGTCTACATCCCCACCCTCACTGAAAAAGGTCCCCTGGCCCCCCAAAAGCTTACATACCAGGCGCGCCGGAAGCAGTTTGGGATTGGGGGGGGCAAACATTCCAGGGGGCTCACCTTCCGAGGGCAGTGACGTAATGAGAAAAAACGTTCGGAAGGGGGGGGGGGGCAGACGAAAAATCTGCATCACCACCAGTCTTACACGTTATATGCAGGTCCCGCGGAACGTTTTTCAAAGTGAAGTATTAACGATCAGGTAGAGCGTAAATTGGCGTGGGGTCCAGCCTCGGCAGGGTGTCAAGGGGCTGAGCCCCCGGAAGCTCAGGGATTTTAGGTATTTAATTACGGTCAGATGAGCATCCAGGGGCCCGCCTTAGGGCCCTTGGTGGGGTCCGGGGGCGGAGCCCCCGGAAGCTCAGGGGTTTTAGGTATTTAATAATGGTCAGATGAGCATTCAGGGGCCCGCCTTATAGGGCCCTTGGTGGGGTCCAGGGGGCAGAGCCCCCAGAAGCTCAGGGGTTTTAGGTATTTAACTACGGTCAGATGAGCAACCAGGGGCCGCCCTAGGGCACTTGGTGGGGTCCAGGGGGCAGGGCCCCCGGAAGCTCAGGGGTTTTAGGTATTGAATAATGGTCAGATGAGCATCCAGGGGCCCGCCTTATAGGGCCCTTGGTGGGGTCCAGGGGGCAGAGCCCCCAGAAGCTCAGGGGTTTTAGGTATTTAACTACGGTCAGATGAGCAACCAGGGGCCGCCCTAGGGCACTTGGTGGGGTCCAGGGGGCAGGGCCCCCGGAAGCTCAGGGGTTTTAGGTATTGAATAATGGTCAGATGAGCATCCAGGGGCCCGCCTTATAGGGCCCTTGGTGGGGTCCAGGGGGCAGAGCCCCCGGAAGCTCAGGGGTTTTAGGTATTTAATAATGGTCAGATGAGCATCCAGGGGCCCGCCTTATAGGGCCCTTGGTGGGGTCCAGGGGGCAGAGCCCCCGGAAGCTCAGGGGTTTTAGGTATTTAATTACGGTCAGATGAGCATCCAGGGGCCCGCCTTAGAGCCCTTGGTGGGGTCCAGGGGGCAGAGCCCCCGGAAGCTCAGGGGTTTTAGGTATTTAATTACGGTCAGATGAGCATCCAGGGGCCCGCCTTAGGGCCCTTGGTGGGGTCCGGGGGCGGAGCACCCGTAAGCTCTGGGGTTTTAGGCATTTAATTACGGTCAGATGAGCATTTTTTATGCCTTATTTGTGACATTGGCAGGTCACTTATTTTTTCTCTCCGTCTTTCTTTCTTTTTCTCTTTAACATACTTTTTCAAAAAGTGAGGGGGGAGGGGCTCGAGCCCAGCCACTTTGCAGACCATGTCATAAAGGCTTCTAAATAAGCGTATTTTTCGCCCGACTGTAATTTGGGAATTTCTTATTTTCCAACAAACGCATAAAAAGGTATGACTTTAAAAAAAATGGAGAAAAAATACCGGAAAATCATGTCATAATAGCAACATGTGTAAATCACTGGTATCGTATAGATATCCCCCCCCCCCCATCAGTACGCCAGCGTTCAGGGGCTCATGTCTTCTCACCCCTATAACAAAACCAAAAAAACAGACACGTTTTCCCATTCTCGCACAATATGTCCACGATATGCGCGTATCGCTATTATAAACCGTATAGGTAGCATGCGCAATGTTTATAAAAATTTAATTCCTGTGAACTTTCCTTTTCTTTGAATGGAATGGTATATGTGCTTTAATTCAGGTTTTTATTATTGTTATGTTCTTTTGGGTTAAAAATACAAACCATGTTTTCTTTACTGCTTTTTTTTTTTTTTTTTGGAGGGGGGGGGGGGCGTTTTGGGGGGGCAAAAATGCGTTTTGCCCCCCCACTTTTTTGACTGGGGGGGCAACTGCCCCCCCTGCCCCCCCCCCACTTCCGGCGCCTATGTACATACTGTAGTCACACAGCATGTAGGCAAGGAGTGGGGGAGGGGCGGTGGGGTATGTATAATAATAATAATAATAAACAATATTTATAAGGCGCTTAATACTGGTGTCTCTAAGCGCACCATATTCTGACTTAACAATTATTTACCAAAACTTATAATAAACACACAACTTATACATCTGTTCTTTATTCAATAAATCAGGCATATATAATAATAAAAAAAATAAGATAAGAGTGAGATCAAACAAACATACATACAAGAGGTCAAACATAGGATCAAACATAGGATCGAACAAACAAAAAATAAGACGGTGTGCACCTCCTTTGACCGACTCACAACTGCAGAATATTATTTATGAATTAAAAAGGTGCGTTTTCAGCAAGGACTTGAATTGGTCGAGAGAATGAATATTATGAAAGTGCGCTGGTAATTTGTTCCAAAGGATAGGGGCATTTACTGAGAAAGCTCGGTCGCCATATTTTGTAGCGGTACGAGGTCCGAGGGTTAACTGCAAGGTTGATGATGATCGAAGAGGTCTTAAAGAACTAGAAGAACGTAAGGAAATCAAATCTGAAAGATATTTAGGGGCTTGGCCATGGAGAATTTTGTATGTAAGAAGAAGAACTTTGAATGTGATACGATGGTGTATGGGAAGCCAATGAAGAGAACGCAATATTGGGGTTATGTGCTCAAACTTTCTCGAGAGAGTAACAAGCCTTGCAGCAGTATTCTGAATTCTTTGAAGTGGAAGTAGGGACGATCGCGGAAGACCAGAAAAAATTGAATTACAATAATCAAGGTGGGAGGATACAAATGCATGGGTTAATTTTGCAGTTGTGGGCCGGTCAAGTAGTTTCCTAATTTTCCCAATTTTGAAGATTCCAAAAGATGCCGATTTACATACGTTTTTAATGTGCTGTTGAAAAGTAAGATTTTTGTCGATTAAAACACCCAGGTCTCGAACGTATTCACTACCCTTCAGTGAGCCATCTCTGGTAACCAAGTCGGGGAAGGAATCGGTGTTTCTGAATTTGGAAGTAATGTGGATCATTTCAGATTTTCGTTCATTAAGGCAAAGTCTATTGTTATAAGACCAGAACCTAATGTCTTCAAGGCAACTGCTGAGTTTCCGAGTCGCATCATCCTTCCCGTTAGGCTTAAGAGTTATATAAATCTGAGTGTCGTCAGCGTACATCGCATGTTGAATCCCCTGGTGAGAGTTAATGACTTTAGACAGTGGGCTGGTGTAGAGAACGAAGAGAAGTGGGCCGATTACGGAACCTTGAGGAACGCCGCAGATCAGTGGAAATGTTGCAGAAGGCGTGTCGTTGATGATCACACGTTGACTGCGATTGTGGAGATATGAGCGTATCCAATCAAGCACAGTTCCGGTGATGAAAAAGTCATTTTGCAGGCGATGAAGTAACAGGGTATGGTCGATGGTGTCAAATGCAGCCGTATAATCCAGGAGGATGAGCACGGCTTCATTACCCTTGTCTATGGCCAGGAGAAGATCGTTCAGGACTTTAACCGTAGCAGTTTCTGTTGAATGGTGGTTCCTGTAAGCAGATTGATGAATAGGAAGCATGCCAAATCTCTCGAGGTGGGCCTTCAGCTGAGCAGCC